GATCCCTTCAGTTTACAAGCGGCTTGGCTTGGCAGCAGAAGGGGAGGTTTGGTTAGTTCGCCTGGCCATGTACGGCTTGACGACGTCCCCCAAGGACTGGTCAAGGCACAGGGACCAGACCATGCCATCGATGAGCTGGGTGAGAGTGCGAAATGATCGCAAAGTCCGTGGACACTTCCACAAAACCACGGACGAAAATCTATGGCGGCTGGAAGAAGTGGACCTCGAGACAGGTGAACGTTACTGGACTGGCCTCATGTCCGTGTATGTGGACGACATCCTCTTGACCGGAGAAGAAGCAGCCTTGAGTGCGGGCCTCACCTCTTTGCAAGCAACTTGGACCACATCCAGTGTTGAATGGGCTTCAGCACAAACGCCAGTGCATTTCTGTGGGTTTGAAATCATGGCCGATGGAGCTGGAGATGGTTTTCATTTGTCTCAACGACAATATGAACAAGAAATCCTCACCCGCTGGAATGTGAACGAGGCGGTGCAGTTCCCTCGCTTCAAGATCAGTGAGGAAGACTATGAGGTGCATGTTGAATGTGACCGCCGCCAGATTCGTGAAGCCCAAGCCTTAGCTGGGTCATTGCTCTGGCTGTCGACAAGGTCCAGACCAGATTTGGCCTATGGTGTGGCGGCTCTCAGCCGTCTGATGACAAAGAATCCCAAAAGGGCCATTGAAATCGGCCACAACCTCCTTGCCTATGTCAAAGGCAACCCTGGTGACATGCACTATCCCAGGGAGATCCACCAAAAATGGGGTGCCAGAAGTCAATTGAAAGTCCAGCGTCACGACAAGCTCATCGAGGTCTTTGCTGACATCGCTTATGGTGCTGGATCCAACCATCGCAGCATCCAAGGACTAGTGATCTATGTTGCTGGCGCTCCAGTGGCTTGGCAAAGCTCGACCCAACCTTTCGTGACTCACAGCACTGCCGAGTCAGAGCTTGTTTCATATTGCGAAGCCCTCACGGCTGGCAGATCGATCGAGGCTTTGATGTGTGCCATCTGGGGGGAGGACCTCACTTCATCCAATCCCTTTGAGCGGGTGATTTATGGAGACAATGTTGCTGCAATTGGCCTCGCCTATGGGAATAGCAGTTCGTCATGGCGGACACGCCACCTCAGGGTCAGAGCAAGCATCCTCCGTGAAGCCTTGGAAGATCAGGTTGAGTTCCCTGGAGGCAAGTGGCAGCTCAATCACTTGAAAGGCACCGAATTGGTGGCTGATGGCATGACAAAGCCATTATCCGGCCAGAGCTTCTTCGGCTTTGTGTCGGATCTGGGCCTACAAAATGAACCGGTCCAGGTGAGACGCATGGCGATGGGTGATCGACACTTCCAAGTACAAGACCGCGTAGTGGCCTTGCAGATGTTGGTGGTGGGGGGAGCGATCATTCAGGCCACCCAAGCGGCAAACACAACGGGCTCTGAAGAAGCCCATGATCCTGACCTACCTCTCGATGCTGTGTGGATGTGCGGCTTAATCCTGGTGCTGATCGGGGCAATCTGGGTGGGAAAGACAGCGCTGAGTTCCATTGGGTGCTGTCTAAAAAGATTGCATAGCGTCATCAAGCTGCCGCAGCCACCTGGTGATGATGAGGAGGAGGAAGAGAACAGTGAAGGGAGTGAGCCGGCCATGACACCACCGGCCGATGAAAATGAAGAAGGGACTATGCGCCGATCGAGTTCGACCTTGCTGCCTACCAGGAGACAGTCGGGCTCGCGCTTGCACCATCGCGCTCCTGCACACCGCTCAGTGCCCGGGTCGAACGATCCAAGGGCCACAGCAGCCAGCGAGGCTGCTGGTGTTGCAGCTGAAGCAGCAAAGAAAGCTCAGAGAGCTGCAGAGGCCGCGAACAGTGCCGCCGCGAGTGCCGAGAAGGCATCGCTGATCATGCAGCAGCTGAGCGACGAGACCACGGAAGCGGCCTCCTCAAGTGCCGCAGGCGCCGCATCCTCAGAAGCGGTGCCTGCAAGTCCGTGGAATCAATTCCAGCGCGCCAATGCTGGAAAGAAGTGGGGCACAGAGAAAATGAGAGCCGAGTACTACAAAAGCAAGTGTGCCAATGGACAGAAAATGCCTTGAGCTGTGGCACGCTTTTGTTTTCTTCAAGATCGCCAGAAAATAAGTTCTGGCGAGGGGGAGTCTTTGGACGCATGACCGTGAGAACACGAGTCGACCGAAGGCATTTTGTTTGGCTGAAAACAAGCGCCCCTCGCTGTTTGTGTTTAGAGCTAGTATTCTAGTGTTGAGCAGTAAATTGAATGCTGCAGAGCAAGATCTGGAAAGCAATTCTTTCAATCCAGAGCCGTGAAAACAGCACCCCGACACCTGACACCACATCAAATGTTTCCGATGCCATCAGGGTTGTGCAGCCGTTGTCAGGGCTCTCAGCTGGTGAGATTCTGCCACCTCAAAAGCCGAGCTGCTCACGACTGACTTTGTCCGAATTATTCCCTGTGCTTGGATCATCAACGAGGACAAGAAACGCAAGAACATGCAAAGCACGCACCAAGTCAAAGACCTCAAGGAACCAGAATGGCTCTGCCAGCGCATCACCTTCCCAAGATGCTCAAAAAATGTCGTAAACCAAATAGGACATGACAAACAACTTGAAAATTCGATCACAGATCACAGCTCACCTGGATCGTCCAAAGGGCAAGTGCTCTCCACGCGAAGATCCAAAATGCCTTCCTGGCAAAATGCATCTCAAATGCTAGTTTATGCTGTTTCAAAAGGACCTATATTAATCATACAAGTCAATCTGTCTTAAGCGTCCTGCAAGCAAATCTAAAAAGGCAGATGTCCTGTGAAATGCCTTTTGCTTTCGTGCGGTAGGGTCGACGGGTCAGCCCGGTCCTGAGTGTGGAATTCGACAGAGCAAACCTCAGTAGCGGTTTGAAGAACCAAAGAGGGTCCTTTGCGACCCAAAACTGATGGGAATAAATAATGTTCTTTAATAGGGTGATATTCCTCTATTGTATGTATATAGGGAATCCACCTATATATAACTAAGTGGTTATCCATATCTTGGATAACGCAATTGACTCTTCTTTGACTTTCATGCAATCTTTCTTTAAACATGTGACTGGTTCACTTGGTCACCCGACACAGCTGATGTAGCGGCCAGCCTTGAAGCAGGCAAATTGTAGTATCCGATAGTTGCTTTTCAACAAACCCACCCAGGTCTGCGTTTTCCGTCATCATGTGCTTCAGAAATTTCATTGTGGCCCGGCGGCCTGCAATACCGCACTGGCATCTGGATCACGCGCGACAATGTCTGCAACATCCAAACCTGCAGCTCACATTGGAAAAGGCACAGAAACTGATGGTATCTGGTATCTGCCGAGATAGGAACTCATCACAGCAGATCCGTCGTCCAAATCAACAACATCATCCCCGTCGCGGCCTCACATGAAGTTAGGGGCCGCACTGATGATTTGGTTGACAGATTTTTAGGAAAACCAATAGCGACGGCCTCCACCCTAGTAGCGATGGCCTCGAACCTAATAGGAATGGCCTCCAACCTAGAAGCGATTTGGTTCCCAGATTTTCGGGAAACTTGGCTTCTTTGCTTGGCTGAGCCTGTGGCACAATACATAGCCTTGAAGCCACACTCTCTGTAGCCGCTGGTGCGACCCTTTGCACACCAAGTGGCCTGCGGTTGAATCGTAACATTGCACTGCAAACACCGGACATATCCTTGGTCCTTGGCACACACAAACGGCCAACAAAGAAGGATGAAAAGAAGATTGTTTGGAATCAAGGAGAGGAAAGGCGTCCTCACCAGGCCTTCTGAGTCCAGCGATGTCTTGCGAAGCTCTACTAGGAACATCTTCGTGGCACCTGCAGCTGTGCAGCGCCACTTTGGAATGAGCTGTCTACCTCTGCCTACTATACACAAATCCCTCAACACAGCTGGGCTGCCTCCAATCATCTGTACCGGCTGCCTGAGGCAAATCTCCCAATCTCCGATTGTGCACTTTGTGGGATTTCTTATGCTTATAAGCAACACATCTTCAATTCAGACCAGCACTTGCTTACCTTTCTCAATTCTGGCTTCCTCTAAAAGCAACAAACCCATTTATCGGAAGTCGGCCTTACTGCCACTGCAGAAGACATAGTCGGTGCAAACATGGATGCAAAATGATGCGATACTAGCCCTTTGAGAGTCTGAGCTGGACAAATCTACTTTGTTTTTGACGTATGGCGCATTCTCCGACTTTCAATCCAAGGTTTCTTCACTGGGCGCACATCTAGACGCTGCTTGCCATGTTCTGTGGCCGATGCCACGTTGCTGCGGTCTTTTGCTAAGTAAAACCTTCATGTTTGTGCATCAAATCAACACTTAGGATAGTTCTCTTTAGTTTCCACATCACAGTTGGTTTCTGAGCGCTGTCGGCCCTGCTAAGGATATCTCAAACTAAGTGACTAAGTGCCGTGACTCAAGCCAGGCTAGAAGCAGAATGATCCTTGTATCTGCTTTAACTAGTTGCTCCTCTTCGCCCATGCCCCAATCAAGAACAAACTCATTCAAAATTGTGTGTGTGTGTGTTTGTACAAGGTCAGCTACAGTACATGCAGGAAACAATTCTCAAAGGCTGTGCGTTGTCCACTTCCTGATCGAATTCTATTTGATTCTGCACCACCATTTTTACTCTTTAAGCCCATTTGCTAAATGGGAAGATTGTGAAACCTGGTGCTACAGCTGCTGTACAGACTGAAAACACTCTTGGGTTTTAAAGAATGCTTCTCTCGGCAGCGCAAGCCCTGATCTCATACCAACTATTGCTATGGCACTGCCTTGATGCTGTCCCAATGTGTTTTCCAACTGTAAGCAGCTTTGGGTCATCTGGAAGGGCCGGTTCCAGCAACCTCGGCTCTGACCCATTTGAAGCATGGCCATCATGCGGAAACATCTCGAATACAAAAGCCAGTTCGCTTGATGAAACAGCCGGAAAATGCAAACGCGGAAAGGGTGTGGCTGCCTTTCTCAGCTCCCAGCAATGCCCCTCTTGAACTTCTGGACGTGCATATAGCGACCACGATACTTCCTGGGATCGTACCTCTGGCACAGACTCCTACAGACTTTGGGATCTGTGTAGAGTCTTATTGGCAACATGTTCAAGCGCTTCCCATCCCGCGCGAACACATCTTGCAGCATCCTATGTTGCCACGCAGAATTAGTGGCCAAGAATGCAGAAGGACTTCTCTAAGGACCCCACCATTTGTGGGCTTCTATCCTGGAATGCAACAAATGGCTTGTAAGATCTTGTAAGCAGATTTTAGTAGTGGCACAAAAGTGTTCCGTCTTTGGCCCCCTCTTTTTTTGGATTGAAGTGCAGTCGCCTGGTGTTGAAGTGGCGCTTCATAAACCAAGCCTTCTTTCTGTGGAAGTCCTTGGCACTGCAGGGAACAGTTCATGTCTGCGAAAGGCTTCGACATTGACTGTCGTGTTGTGTCTGTCCACAGTCCTTCTTCGACTCGGACATATCCTTGATGTTTTGCTGGATATGTCGCCACTTTCTTGGCTTCTCTTTGGGGAAAAAGCCGCATCTCTGCAACATGGCCTGGCAACTGCTGGTCTTCAAAAAGCAACTGAAGAAACATGCAGGCAGCCTTCATTTCTAGAGGCTCTGTGCCAAGATCCAGTGGTCCATCGTCCACTGGCACCTCAGGAAAAGTGCTATTAATTATTAATTGCTATTATATAAATTATATATAGTTATATATAATACAGTAATACCTGCGAAGGTTCGGGATTTTGGTCAAGGCTTGTGGCTTGAAACGAGGCACAATGTTGCCCTCGGTATCGGTGTAGCCGAACTGGACCTAGCATACACCCACAAAGAGCAACAGACACGGACGGTGAGAAGTGGAGGCAAATCAGCCAGGCATGCCGGATATTCGGTAGGAAGCCAAAATCGGAACTTCCTGTAAAGCTTGTAAGATCCTCGGTCAATCGATGGTCTCAGGCCGATGGGTGACGCTTGTGGTGCCGCTTGTGGTGCCTCTAAGCCCCTCTGGGTGTGTGACGTTTGATAAGCCAGTTGTATTGGCATCTGATAGCTTCTCGGAAATCTCCTCTGCTGTGTGCCACCTTCACTATGGATGCATCCATCAAGATCTAGCCAAATCAATGAGGCCAATGGGCCAATCAGCATGCCTTTTAAGAGTATTATCTTGACTATTTCCCCTCATTGGCGGCTCATGCCCCTTTATAGCAACAACAAAAAGTGTCAATGAGGTTGCACATTGTTGCCATCCAAGGTGTTTGCGCAAGTGAACCAGCACCTCCATTACACAAACTGAAATCAACCCTACCAACTCGCTTTGACGAGCACCAGCCTCACCAACTAGCTTCCAAGGCATCTTCCCTTCGTAGCGAACAAAGACCTTCGGAGAGGCGAAGGCCAAGGTCCGCTCCCACCAGCGAAACTGTTGGATTGAAGCAAAAGCATCCTAGCTACTAGTAGCTTCTAGTAGTGATGGCCTCCACCTAACAGCATCCTGCAAACCAACTGAGTCAAGCAGAATTGCATGACGATCTCGTGGGCAAATGCTATCAAATGCTGACGGAGGCTTAGCGATGTATTGTCTTGGTGCATATTCACAAAGCAGAACAGCGGCCATGAGCCTCGCTAACATTATGCCCGGCTTTGCTAAGTTCCTGAGCATGACTGAGCAAGCGCGAATCTCGGTTGGGAAGCGGTTTGAGGGGACGCTCGATGAACACACCCAAACGGGTCATCCGATGTGCTTCATGCGTTTTGCTTCCACTTTCTGATACTCAAACAGACCCAGGCACTCTAGGCTCTCCGTGTTCAGCAACATGAATCAGCAATGTTTAAAAGCTCTGCAATACGTCAGCAACCAAGTTGCCCCAAGTCGGAGACAGATCTAAAGCTTCTTGGGCTGCAAAGGGTTCAAGAATGCTCAACAAGTGATGTGTCAATTCAATTGTCCTGCCTTGCACATCTTTGGTGGTGTGAGGTGGGTGTCTCCATGGTCCATGGTGTGTCAGTCTCTTATACAGTATATCTCCTGTATGTTCTCAGTATGCACTCTCTGCCAACTGCCAAGCTTCCCAAAAGCGCTTCTTCTGCTGCCGCAGGCGGAGCGCTAGCGGCTGGATGATTCTCTCCTGTGAAACAAGGGAATGCTAGCAGGGGCAACCAGGTGCCACATCCACGAAAATGCATGCTGTACATTGCTGTACCTCTCCTAACATGGGTCTTCCTGGAGCTGACTGTTGGTTATACCTTTTAGACCTCTCTTTTCCTTCCATGTATGCTCTCTCTTTCTCTCTTTCTCTGTTTCTTTCTTTCGTTCTGTCTGTCTTTCTTTCTTGCTTCAATTATTGCCAAAAAAAGGGCTTGATGCCCTCTGGATCATGCGTGTGCCTTCGGAATGTCGCTGGTGAACTGAAACCCCTGGGCCTCAGGCCAGCTGTCAGCTTGTGGCAAGAAGCTGCTTGCTATGAACAGCTCAAACTAGTGTCATGTTCCAACCAACCCAGCCTTTGGAAGCTTGATCACAAGCTTGTTGGCAGTCGGGGCGACCTGAGATACCGACCTAAATAGGACATCCACCGAATTGACAGCTGTTTCGACCACAGAGGCATCCGGCTCTCTGGGAGATGAGCGCCATCTGCTTGGATTCCCGATCTGCCTTGGAATTCCCGGCTCAACATGGGAGAAACACATGGGTGGGTATTTCAATAGGGAGACCCCCAGGTGTTCTTTCCTTCTTCCAGGGGGTCTTTGGCAGGTCTCCCTATTTTGATACACAACCACATTGTTCTTCTTGCCAAAATGCCTGGGGCGGATAGTTGATGAAGGCATGGAAGCCCTTGAACCATGCTGACACGGCCTCGGCCACACATTCTATCTAAAAAACAGTGGTTTGATTCAAACGCTTCTAGGTGGAAGGCCATTACAATTATATAGGTTCCTTAAGTTTTTTTTGCAGTGGATTGATTCAAATGCTTGCAAACCCATTCTTTGTCGTCACAGAGTCGCATCACATGGTGTATTTCTGAGTGCGAGGGGCCAGGACCAAAACGCCAAGAAGGCACCGCTGCATGGGCCTGCGGCCGCGCGCGGCAGGCCACAAATCGTGCAACGCTTTAGAGAAAGGTACAGTCAATATGTGTATAGAAAAGTTTATGTATCCTTACAAAGAAAAGAAAAGAAGGAAAATAAGAAGGTGTTTAGGCCCCCTTGAAAGGGGCCTTATTGTTAAAGGCACCCAAACACTTTCTTGTTGTAAAAGGAACCTTGTTGAAGAGGCCCAAACAGCTTGGTTATGTCCTTTCTTTTCGGTACCACAAGCCATCCAACCACAATGCCTTGCGACAGGCGGAGACTCCATCATGGAACTGGATGTTGATGTAATCTACTTTGCCAAAACTAGACCTACACTGTGGTTGCCAGTATGTCAATGAACTGAAAAAAGAGCTGGAGTTCCAGTCAAGAATCTTCCGAATCTTCCCTCTGCACCGCTAAGTGTGCGCGGAAAATGTGGCCCCTTGAGCCCAGATGACCTCTTGCGGTGGAGAACTAGCACTTTCACAAGGAGCCCCTGCTGGTCTTCAATTGAGGATAGTCGAATCAACTGATGCCAGATTCAGGTCCCTCGCCAACTTGGCACATTCTTTTCGCACTGAATTCCGTCTTTGGAACCAGGAGCAATGACACCACATTCTGAGGTTTTTAGTCGCTCCTTCCAGTGAGACTTTCAAGTGAGACATGTCTGGCAATGAAATGTTGAGAAAAATAGAGGAAGGTGTCATATTGTGTCATTATGTCTGATGCTAAAAGGCTTGCGATTGACTATCTTGCTTTCTGGAGGCAGGAGCTGTATGCTTGGTTTGGTTCCCCTCTCCGGTCTGAGACCACAGGCTCAGCTCTTTTTCCGGGTCATGTGGTCAAAAATCACCACCTGACATGAACCAAAGCAAGCTGCTCCAAGATTCCATTTTTCAGAACATGGTTGCATAAAAGTTCCGAAGTTGGATTCCATTTTGTTCTGAACAAGAACACCAAAAATAGATAGTCCTGAAACCATCTGAAACCGTTCACGTCTTAAAGCAGGTGCGAAAGCCAAGGCTTGCCAAGGCGCTTGGATATACTCGGTCGTGGGGACCTCCAAGCGCTTGGAGTTGTCTCCCGGCTCGGATCTGGGATCCACGCTGATGACCTCGAGTCACCCCAAACGGCGCCCAACCGGCTGAACGGGACCCCGCCTTTGGCGCACTCAACAGAATCCCAATACCTTTTCGCTACTAACGCTACTAGGGGCTCCTGGCCTTACTACTAGGAGCAAGAAGCTATTAGAAACAAGAACTCTTCAAATTAGAATTAATCTAGATCCTTTGACCAAAGGCACCAAAAATACACAAAGGGCGTCAAACAGGGACTGTTCAAGCGGTGTTCGCTTTCGACCAAGGACATCGGAAGGAAGAAAGGAGGCGTTGCGAAATGATAGATTCTTGCCAAAAGATTGTCTTGATCGCACAACACCGCACGTACTTGCAGTCTCCTGCAAATTAAGCACCTTTTTTCCGTGGTGTCTTTTCCCGTTAAGTGCGAGAACAGAAAGCCTTGGACGAAACACAGAGTCTGACAACAGAATTATTCCGTATCCCATTTGCTGTTTGAGTCCAACATAGTCCAAAAACACTTCTACCACTCCCCTGACGTGGGTCCAAAATCAAACAAAACAAAAACATTAAAAAAACGAGAACACAGCATTGCAGTCGAGAAGCCTTTCGATCTCTTTTGTTCTTGAAAAGCAAACCCTGCTCGTGGTCAGGGAGGATCTGGAAGTTGGGGCTCTCATTTGAAGTCGAGTGTTGAGTGTCCCAGTTGTAGAAGGACAGATCGGACCTCAAACGCCAAGCGTTCAGCATACTTGTGAGCATCAAATGGTTGTTCCTTGAGACAGCATTCTTACTGCCAGCAGTCCCTAGCGTGCTCACTGCGAAATACACACGGAGAGATTGGAGAGTAGATTCGATGAACGTCCCACTTTTTCAGCACAGCTCCCACGAAAAGGCTGGAAAATGGATCCACCAAAAAGATGTCAGGTACAGTAAAACAGGCTCAATCGTCAACAACACGACGTCCAAGTGGCGACTTCGGGAGCAGCCGCTTCTTCCGGTCAAAGTACCTGCTGGAATTCAATAGCTGGAATAATGATCCTTTTTTTTTGTGTGTGTGTGTGTGTTCAATTATACAAGTGAGTGCTGTCTCAACTTCCTTTAGCACTTGTTTGAACGAAAAGAAATCACCAACCGGCTTTGGCTAACATGGGCTACCACAAAGGGAGACAAAAAAACAAAACGAAACCACAGGAGGCACGGCTCAAAGTTCTCTGTTTTGAGACGATGGCCGTAGTCTATGTAGCCAGAGATCTCCTCCAGGAAGCTTGATTGCTTCGCAGCATTTGCATGTCCCTTGCCAAGGCCGATGTGTATGTCCAGTCTATAGTACTGGTAACAGAGAATATGCACATCACCCCCACAACTGCACACACAACCTCACATTGTGTTACTCTCAGTCACCCTAAGTCCACACTGCAATGAGATTTGACCCCGAGCATTCAGCTTGGAGCTGAAAGTCATCTTCAAAAAGACGAAAACAATCTGCTGGCACTTGCACAGTGGTGGAAATGCATTGTCTTTGCATGTCTTTGAATGTCAATGTCATCAGAGTCTGGTCATGCAAAATCACCGTGTCCTGGCCACGGTGATTCTTGTCGCGAATGAAGATGATGGTGCTGAGCTTACCACTTCGCACCAACTCCTGAAGATCTGGTCGCAGGTTGAACAAGCAAAGCAGAAACCAACAGCATCAAATGAGGATCTCAACGGAAAACCGACAGAGTACTTGTGGCTCAATCTGCTCTCCTCCCTGCAAGCCAAATGCCGAAGGACTGGAAAGTCTGTCAGGTTTTTTTGAGCACTTGCCAAGACCTCAGAATCGGAACTAGAGCCACTCAAGCTACGCCCCTGCTCCATCATGGTGAACATATTGAACCCGCTGTTAGGTGGAGGCCATCGCTAGTTGGTTGGAGGCCATTGCTATTAGGTTCCTGTTGAATGTTCTCTTTTTGCTCTTAGGTTGGAGGCCATGTGGAGACATGTGGAGACATTGTGAACTGTGGAGACTGCCCTCAGTGGACACAACGACCTGAGCCTTGTCAGTGATCTGAGCCCGGCCTTCGGGGCGTTCTGCAGGCGAGCCTTGCCGAAGGTCCGTCGCAAGATGTCACGAGTCCGTCTGCAGGTTCGTTCCAACGCGAAGATCCGTTGATCCGTTGGGGGATCCCCATGCCTTCTTGGCATTCTCTGCAGCTTCTCTTCTAGCTGCAAAGTCCTCGCGTGTCAGGACCTGGCGAACGTGGCAGGTAGAAGCCAGAAGACGTCTGTCGCGGGTGGAGGAAACTTCAGACGTCAGATCGCCGCACCTCGCCCTTCCGGCATCCGATTTCGACCAGCTGTCTTGCCAGCTCATCCTCCTCCAAGTAAAAGCGGTCCTGCATCATGAGGAAAGGATAGTCTGCGGATGTTTGCGGATGGATTTGTGAGATCAGCCCGAAGCGTGAGGGTGCGACACCCCTGACCTGCGCTCTGAACACTATTCATTTTTACGCGGATTGCAAGTAGCTGTCCTGCGGTGTGATTTGGCTGTCTAAGTAGTCCTCATACGTCGTGAACTTTTCGATGGAGTCCTTTCGCGGCAACATACATGCATCTAACATTGTTTGTGAGCAATATGCGCTCTAATGCGCCTCATATGGATGCGCGTAGTCATCCTCCATGTTGCACGCTGCTTGAGCCAGCTGCCAACGGAGCACAGAGGAGTTCTTTGCTTCACCACCACCAATAGTTGTCATATGCGGTCATGACTTCTTGACTCCTCCTTGTGTCTCTCCATGTCACGTGTCTTTTATTCTGGACCAGTTGGTCACCTCCCCGAAGTGAAAGAGAACAAAAAACACGGACGGAATTGGTTAAAGATGCAACAGGATCTCTCTTGCCGTTGCCCCACAACAGCTTGCGGACAAAGTGCAATGTCACTGCTGAGATAGACAATGAAAAAGCAAGAGCTGCCCCGAGGCTTGCAGCATTGCTGCATCCCACACTCTGTGATGATTTCTAAATCCATTCAATCAAATCGATTGATCATCACCTACCCCTCCCCTAGTGAAACAGAAGCATCAGGCTGCATAAACTGCAGTGCAAATGCAGACTGAACGATCTGAACAACCCTGCCAAAACCTGTGCGTATCAATGCTCAGCTTTCCTAGGCAGTCACAGCCAAGCTGTCGCAGGAGAGGTATCGTCGCCTAGGTCAGATGAAGGAACAAACAACTGTTAGCCATTCTTGATCTCCCAAGTAATAGCATTAGAAGCTATTAGAAACAAGTGCATCGCTAGTAGTAACAAGTGCCTTACTAGTAGTAACAAGAAGCTAGTAGTAACAAGTGCATCACTAGTAGTAACAAGTGCCTTACTAGTAGTAACAAGGACGCTACTAGTGACAATAAGCTAAGATCCTCCTGCCGTCGATTCCTCTCACATCCCCACACGCTGGGACTCCAGCTCCAAGTGTCCTGCCATCCGTAGAAGCTCGCTCTGTGGTAAGCCGTTCATGTGCCGGCCTGGAAGAACAAACCAAAAAACACGAAGTAACCCAATGGAAGTGTCGATGAACATCGAGTGGCCAAATAGAACTGGTCAACCCACCTGCCTCGCTTCAGAGGGCTCTCAGAGTCAATATCATCTTCCGGCTCTCGCTCACCTGGTGTCCGCGAGTCCGACAGTGCCTTTTCAAGTTGGAATTGGGGTCTGGTCTTTTTTGCACCGAAGTCCTCGCTGAGCCTCTATAATATAATACTAATAGCTTTTTGTTCCTAGTAGTACGGCCAGGAGCCCCTAGTAGCTTCTTGTTCCTAGTAGTAAGGCCAGGAGCCCCTAGAAGCTACTTGCTCCTAGTAGTACGGCCAGGAGCCCCCAATAGCTTCTTGTTCCTAGTAGTATGGCCAGGATCCCCTAGTAGCGTCCTTGCTCCTAGTAGCGATGCCCTTTGCTCCTAGTAGCGTCCTTGTTCCTTAAATATGATCATATGATATCATACGATGTGATGTGTTGTCATTCTATCATGTCCGACACTGAGTCGCCTGAGCGGCCTCTGCGGCGGCGCTTGAGCAAGCCAGACTGCTCAGGTCCAGCCAAAATCGGACCTCGGCACACAGCTTGTTTGGTTGATGTGCTACATTCTGGAGCACCCCTGCCTTGGCCCAGTTCCCGTTTCACAAAGGCAACCTCAGAAAACAAGAATCTCCTCTAAAAGATGTGTCTCATAGCATAATACCTGTTTGGCTAGAATGCAAGCATGGTCCGCTATCACATTAGTTGATCTACTCTGCCACCCAGCTTCTGCCTTCGCAACCAGTATTTCAACTGACAATCTAAGGGCGTCACTTCTTGCTTCGTCCTGATCTCTTTCTTGAGCGAAATCTCCTCCTCCCAAAGCCGCCAAGTCTGCTCCCAGCTCTGTCTCCAGTTGGTCTTCATTCTGTTTGGCTAGGCTCTGGGTCTGAGGAACAAACTATCATGATCTATCATGAGTGTAGGTCCTGTTAGTTCTGTTGTAGACTTGAGGTTGCACGAGGGTCCTGGTGAACTGGCACATGTAGTTTGGTATGTATGGTAATCGTCTGGAATTCGTGTGCAAGAAAAACACTGATCGTGGTCTAGTTTGGATCGGACTTGAATCAACCATTGGACCCACACTCACCGTACACCCCACCACTTTGCCTTCAACTCCTGCTTTGGCCACCCGTCAGCAGCTCTCTTGCGCCGTCGCCCGCCGAAGAGCTGTGATTCCAAGCGTTTCCTTCGCCTAAGCCGAGCTTCCAGAGCGGCATCCAAACTCAGTGACTGATGAACCACCGCCCATACAAACGAAGACGGCTTGCAATCCTTTCATGGAAAGTTGAAGACTGGTCTGGAAGGGTCGTTCGATCAAATGGCTTCCTGCAGACCTTCCGAATTACAGCTAGAATGATTGATGTTTGCATGAGAGGATTTGGGTGTTGCCTGCTTTGTTGCAAATGCTCAACCGTCAGCTATATGATTACTGTCCTACAGTTGGAAATGATGCTTGAAGTTCGCAGGTCAGAATACACATGGTGCTTGCCTTGTTGGCTGTCGGAATCGGAACGTTTCATGTTCGGAGGAAAGAATCCGGGTATATAATGCCTACTTCATTGGCTATAAGTTGGCAACTTGTAGCTGGAATGACTGATGCCACATACTCAATGTAGAACTCAGCTTGTTGCTGTGGTGACCCAGCCCATCTCTGCCCCAACAGCACATCTGTGCAACTGTGGCACTTCGCCAAGTGAGACCTCACGTCGCCAACCTCTTCGTTCTCACTTTCCTACACGGCAAGCACAACACCTTTCCTCTCTTCGTCAAGCAAAAGTCCATCCGGAACAATTGTTCCTTGCGTGCAGGCCCTACAGTAGCCAGAGTCTGTGCAAAATCAAAAGCCATGCTCAATCCATGCCATAATACATTTGCCAGCTCTCCAAAGTCCTCTTCTTCGAGTGGCCCTTCCAAGGGCTCTTCAAGTGGACCGAGTGCATCAAAGATGGGAGCTTCCACCGCAGTTTCCGCCTGTCAAAATGAGAATCAAACAGAATCATTGGGTTCTTTAGTAACAAGAAGCTACTGGGAACAAAGGGCATCGCTACTAGGAGCAAGAAACTACTAGTAGCTCCTGGCATTACTACTAGTAACAAGAGGACACTACTAGTAACAAGGGCATCGCTACTAGAAACAAGTGCATTGCTACTAGTAAGAAATAGCTACGAGTAACAAGAGGACGCTGCGAACGGAACCCTGCACTGCCCACTTTCGCATCTGGGCGCCTTCTCGCAGTCTTCAAGCCCCTCCCGCTCCTGCTTAAAGGATGCGTCGAATACTATGCATCAAAATTTCGGAATACTATGGGAATCTGTGGGATCCTATGGAAAGCTCTTTCACACTAAAGCATCCCGGATATCCGGATTATCACAGCCTCCAAAGGCCTGACCATAGACAAGGCATCGTTGGTCTCAGCCCACGGGATTTGCCGTCAGGCTATCCAACCAAGAATTGGACTGCCAACAACAACGCAGTTGCGAGGAACTAATATAGCCTGAGGACATGAATGCAAACCTACAGCGTACACCACACAACAAACACCACGCTGCGTAATCCAAACCGGGAACCAAGGACACGGGCGTGAAGAATGAAAATAAACACAACATAACAAAGCCACCTCAACTGCCAGTGCGTTCATTAGGCATTCTGTCAAGTTTGCTGGATAAATTGTTCATTTCTTTGCCGTCCTCTTCCTCTGCTTGCCCATCAGAGACTTCCGCCACTGAACTAGGCTCATCTGTAGGAACCTGACCAGTGCAGGTCGTGCCGTAGAAAGACTGATGCAGGCAAAACTGAAAGTAGAAAGGGTCATCAACAGAAACAGTACCTCAACAGCCCCAAGACACAATAAGAACTAGTTTAGGCAAAGGTGCAGCTTTTGACCTTGTTAACATGAGTGTTGAGCGCTCAGGGCTGAAGGTTTCCGGAGGCGCACAGGTGTGACAAAGTGTAGGAAGTGTCGAGAGTTTCTTTCGCAAGATTGCAAGTGGAATTAGTAGCAATGTGAGGCATTGGAAGTTGGAAGGGCATACAAGAAGATCAGAGAGTTTGATACTTACTGGGGCACCCAGTCAACACCGTCAACAGCTGCGTCCTTTCTGAGTCAGTCATCCAGAGAACAGCGCAGACCAAAAAGAGCCCAGAAACAGGACCAGGAGGGCCAGGGACCCATGAGGACCAGTTCATTGCGTGAACTTTATTTTACACGAATGTTTCTTGTTGCCTATCACTTCCCACATTACAAGCCTTCATACCTCCACCCCACGCAAAACCACAAGTCAAATCAAATACCTCAGCCTGGGTCACAGCGCCACAGGTTACTGTGGCTAACTTAGCGATTTCGGCCGCAAAAGCAGCACGAAACGACGATTTTGATGGCTTGTGTCTGCTGCCAGAGGTTCGGACACATTGTGTCAGACTGTACAAGCCTTCGCAAGAGCGGCAAGCCATTCTTCACATGTGTGAAGGCCTTTCCGCAGCTTCTCGTCCAGCAGCTTCTAGACTGACAATTAACATCAACAAAATACAAGACATTGACATTTCCAAAAACCGTGGAAAACTTGATGCTTTGAGAAATTCGAGGCACGAATCTTCGACGCAAATCACCGGGGCGTACTCGGTCACATTGAAATGAGGCGGTGTTCGCTTTCGGTCATGCGGCATTGTCGACCCAATGCTGCGATCGAAACAAAAAAAATGATGGAATTTCGCGACGACGGTTCTCACTCCCCCCCCCCCCGACCAGAAGAAAGTGAAAATCTTGAAAATCTTCAGAATGTGATAACATCATACAATATTGAAAATACACCAAAAACCCACAGGCGACCTACGGCGTCGCATTTTTATAGACTTGACCAGAAACTATCTGTCCATGATGTCTGTTTGCCAGCCACTTGAAGCAAAGAACAACAACTAAGGTTTGTCTTGGCCACATCTCTCTTTCAGGGGCCTCCCTTGCTTTATTCAGAGCCACATCCACTGACTACGGTGTCTTATGATGTTGCACACAGAATACACTCACCTTTCCTTTGACATGCGGTGGCTCACGCAGTGGAAACCTGTCAGTTTGGCTTCCAGCCTTCTCCGGCTCCTCAGCTTCTTCAGG